TCCGGCTCCGTGTGTTTTTCCAAATGATTACAGTGGTCCACATAAACCTCAACTTTAAAATGTAACATCAGGCTTTCACAGAATGATGGTGAATTATCTACAGTCCACATCCATCTATAGATATTTGATTTAACTATGAACTTAACTTTTTTCTATGAGTGACATGCAAAAGAAAACAAACAGGTTCCACTCTGTTCAGAAGAAAAGAATAAATATCTTGTAACACAAGGAAACACAGACAGAAAGGTGTCTGAAGCCAAAAAGAAGAAGTTCTTAAATTGACGTGTGGGAAGTTCAGCCTTTTGTTGTTGAGTATTTATTAATACAATAACAGCTTCCTGTGTGGTGAGAAAGGCGTAACACAAAAAGTTTTAAAAAAGTTTACTTTAGGTCTGTTCTTTTGTGCAGTTTCTGTATTTCTACATTTCACTGCTGTTAAACAATCATGTGATAAATAATTATCAGTCCCTTCCCTAAAGATTTAATTGGATATTTAAAGCCAAGCTGCTGTTTGATTCGTGATTGTGAAACATTTTCTGTTCTATGAATCTGGAAAAAATATCTTGTTTTCAAATAATGAGAAACACTATAAACTGAAGAACAGAGGAATAAATCAGGTTATTGCTTAAACTGTGATGCTGACAAATCCTCTGATGGAGACAAAGAACATTTTCAATCCAAATGCAGCAGCAGACAGTTTAACTCAGAGGATAAAGTAAGGTGCTGACCTCTAGTGGTCAGAGGAGGAACTCCATCCTTCAGAGAAGTTCCTGGTTTATCAGTGAAAGAGGAAGAGAAGCAGAGTTAGAAACCATCAGCAGCTCAGGATGAAGGTCTGTTATACTTTGATCTGCATCTTCTTCTTCAGTGAGTACATTATTTTATTTATATCAGTTTATTTTCTCTCAGTCCTTCATCTTTTTAAATCCTCACAGTTGATCAGAATCTTTTAAATTTTACAAAAGATTTAAACTGAATTCAAATGTTTCCCTCGTTGTAGCAACAGAACACCTGAAAGTTAAAATTTGAATAAGAAACTTTCAGTTACTATCCATAGATCCGTTTGGGTTCATTTCAAGAATTGTTGGATGTTTTTAACTATAGAAAGAAGCAAAGGAAACAGCTCTTTGTTTCATAGCTTTTAAAGCACCTGCAGAGGAACATTAAAGCAGAAGTAACTCAGAGCTGCAATATTAAAAGCCTCCTTAAAGAAACAAAGCAGATAAATGTTTTATTTCTCCAAAGCTTCACTTTATAAACGTCCTCAGAGGAGATTTTATCAGCTGTCAAAGAAACCAGAAGGTTGTTGATCCA